AGAGCAAATTAACTTCTTCGGAACTGCTGAAACATTTTGAAGTACTAATGAAGGGGGGAAAAAAAGAAGTCAAGAGCTGTCATTGTTCCACCTTGTTTTCTTGTTTATGATAATTGCCAACGTGCAACTTTGAAGTGCCAGAAATACATAAAATCAACTGCACTGTGGCAACTCCCAGCATGAAATGAGAGAATAGAGGATGGGAATAGATGCGAACACTCCCTCAGCTCCCTTGATTGCTGCTGTTGTGGCTCAGACAGGGAGCCTGCAAGTGCACAATGAGAGGTGAAAATGGTGATGGATTCAGTGCCCTTCGAGGCACCAAAATATCATGTTGCAATTGTAGTTCCTGAGCTCATTGGTTTCCATCTGGTCTGGGTGTGGCCTCTCTGATCTATGGCCCCGATGCTGATTGCAGCAGGGCAACCTTGCAGTTAGGTGAACCTCCTTTGTTTTAGAGAAAAGGATGCTAACATACCCAAGAGCTTGGGCTTTGAAAGGATGGCAGAGCCGACTGGAAAATGGAACTCATGACTGCATTTCTGAGCAGACCCTCCCTCTTGCTGGTTGGGAAGCCTGGCTGGGTGTGCTCGCGGTGGAAATGCTGACGTACCTGAGCATCTGTCACTGGATTCCAAGTGTGCCATTTCCTCTGCTCCCAGAACAATGAGGAAAGTGAGAGGAAATCCGAACAAACTCTCTGCATGACAGGGAAAGGAGAGGAAACCTGAAACAATTCACTGGCCAGCAGTGGAAATGAAACTGCTGCATCCCACTGTGCTCAGGAGCAATGATTTTAAAATAATAAATTTAAACCAACAAGAAACACCCAGTGTAGATGCTAGTTATGACCACATGCTTCAAAAATTACAGCACTCTGAGCCATGAGCTTGCTATATATGATTAATGCTAAAGGTTAAGCCTGGCCTGCACTTAGACATGAACCCTTTTAAGGGTCACTGGGATGCCTCAGGAAACAGAGTGAGGGATGTGATGGGAAGTCACTGCTTGTGATTCTTTGTTGAATTCATTGCCCATATAATATGGTAGGTGCTGTTTTGGTGGGGAGCAGGGTGGAACAATTCTATTCTGGTGAAATTCCAGTTTGGGTAATTCCCTTTTATCAGTAGCTGTATTTGAATAAAAGTTCTCTCCTATCCTAAACTGCTGCTGAGAGCACTCATGTGTGATAAAGTAAGTACCACTTCTAAATGGTGATTCCCCTTTTGTGCTTTTCAGCACAGGACACTGCAGATTATACTGGATTTAGAAATTTTCAGTCCAGGGCTTTTGGACTTGGCTTTTGACCAAATATGTTCCTAACCCTACTGCATGTTATAAGCTCAGTCTTCCTTAGCAGGGACAGGGTGAAAGCATCCAAAGCAGATGAATTTTAGTGCAGGTATAATGCCAACTATTTCACGAGGGATGCATAGTAAGACAAGATGGGAAGTGTATATAGTAGGTCACAGTTAATGGTAAATGATCCTGTCTACCCACTGGGATGCCCAGAGGGAGTCTATTGGGATATCCTGACTCCCTGATTGTGCTTTGGCTCCTTTGTTGTAAACACATTTTATTATGCTTTCAAAACATACTATGGGACTTTGTGTTAAAATGATGTTTGCATTACTGATTGACAACTGAATCATTCCTCCCTGTGTCAGTTTCAATAAAAGGGGAGTAAAAATGCCATCGGGAGGCCAGGCTTCATAACTGCCAGCCCAGGCTAAACATCAAATCACACAGGTACCCTTCTCCCCCTGCTGCCTAGCTACCAAAGGAAGGGTTCTGCCAGCACATCTACTACTTTGAAGGGTAAATAACATAACTACTAGCAAAAAAGCTGCTTATCATAGACAATTCTCCCAAATGTTTCTTGTGATTCTAAGGGAGTCACAATATTGGAACTAAGCCAATACTAATACTGGAGTAGGTGCACCCCTGTCCCAGCCCAGGTCACTTGCTTCTGGTGCTTTCTTGGTACCAGCTCTGGTGCTCATCTGACACAGCAGTGAGCTGTTTCAGGGAACAAAAGGAGGAAGAAATTAATCTTACCCCCAAATATAGTAGATTTCTGCCAGCACAGCTCCCAAAGCTGGCTCCCCAGGGTATCACATGAGATTCAGCGCTGACTGCGTGGGAGGAGACAGGATGGCATGCCCGGAGCTGCGTGAGGAGGATCCAACCACCTCCTGCCCTGTCCGCTAGCAAACTGTGTCACACGGCTCGTCCATCTTGTGTAGGATTACAGACCTTCCAGCCCGCAGGCCCCACTTTCTGCCTGAGCCTCCCTTTGCATTCCTAGCAAACCAACCTGGAGAGGGGAGTGGCTGAGACCTGGCCAGGAGAGTGTGGTACCTTGGGCTCAATTACACAGCAGCATGCGCAACAACCCAAATCCTGACTTTGAGTGAAGGGTTAGCCTAGGGAAAAAACAGAACAGAAGCCAGGTTTTTTGCCTGTGTGGCTGAGACTGGAAGCAAAACCAGATTTGTCCCCAGCTGCTGAAACAGTGGCTGCAATTGCTGGGCAGATCTGTGCTGAGCAGAACAAACCAGGCCTTGTGAAGCTCTAAGCTATCGAATTCAGATCCTTCTGAAAGTCAGATTAGTCCGTTCAGGTCTGTTGTTGTTCCTTGTGTGTGGACGTGTAGAAGAACTGGATTGCCATAAAACTGGGGAGGAGGTAGAAGTATACGTTACACAATTTTATCTGTGATGATAAAACCAACCATCTCGGAAGCATGGTAAAGTCATAACCGATGTGGTGGAGTTAGTTGGTGATATGCTGGAGCACTAGGAAAAAATTTGCATCGTGACTGCGTTTGCATAGTGTGCAGTTCACACTCCAAAAACACACTTACATGCTCATGCATACGCATCTCAGTGTTTGCATGTCGAAGACCAACATCCACAGTGTATATGAGCTAATGTGCACACCAGGGTATGTGCTCACACAGACATAAATGTATACACTTGTACACAAATGCCAGCTCTGTGGCATAGAGCTAATGATCTCACTTTTCATTCTCACCTTCTGAATGCATCCAGCTGCTTGTATCAATTCCCTGGCTCCAGTGCCTGGAGCATGAAATCGAGCGGAGTGAGTCATGGGGCAGGAGTGTGATCACATGCAGGTGTGCAGAGAGACACTGACACAAAAGTGCTTCATATTCATTTAATCAAACTTGTTCATTTCTGGCAAACAGGCATGGGCATTAGAAGCATCTGAGTCACACTTTGAAGGACCAAAGCTTTTGTTCTTCTTATGTGTAAAAACAAATGTTGATGTCATAAGAGGAAGAGACAAAAAGGACAAGGATTCAAGCTTTGTGAGATGGAATGTTGCCCTTCCTAGGAGTTTGCTCAGTGTTACAGAATTACAGAGTGTGTTTTTCTGATCATTTTGATTCATGCATCTGCAGGGAAGTTTCCCTTATCCACTGGAGCATACTTATGGAGGTGGAATTATCCCTGCATTAACTCATCTAGTTGTCTCAAGCTAGTTTCTGGGGTTTCTTCCTTGTACCTCTTCCAGGTATTGACATAATCCCCATCATCACAGTACTTGAGCACTTTTCAATATTTGTCCCAGAAACATCCTTGTGAGGTAGGGAAATGCTACTATCTTCATTTTTAAACAGAGAACTGAAGCACTGAGGGGTCAAAAATCATGAAGGACATATTTAGCAGAACAGTCACTTGAAACGGCATCCCAGTGCTTCCTCCTGCTTCGTAAGTGCTCTGCCACTGAATCATCCTACTCCTCTGCACCCCTCTTGAGTATTAGTACCAGTACATAGTTTGCTAACACGAAGCCTTCCCTGGGAAGCATTGCTAGGAGTATGTGTAGCTCTCCAAGAGTGCTGCCTCCTCCCTCACAGACAAATCACTGTGGGTCTCACAGGCTGCTCAACTGCATGGAGAGCGGCACCTCCACCTCTCAGATGTGCTCCCATCACAGCTGGGCTCCCGCTCAGACCAGTAACACCAACCTATGCTTCCGTCCCTGCTGCAAGAGATATAACTGCTTTCTTCCACCAGTGTCCTGAGGCAGGCTTTGGTCCCAGAGTCACTGACCTGTCCTTTTCCCTCTTTTGGTTCACCTCTTTTATAACTATCAGCATTCAGGCCATGCTTTCCTTTTCCTACAGGGACTTGCTCTCCCTCACAGCCAAAGAACAGGTAACTTGCTCTCACATGCCACAGACTTGCTTTGCTTCTAAGAACAGCTGCTTTCCTTTGGAGCAGAGGCCTCCTTTTTAAAAGAAAAAATAATACATCTTTAAATACAATATCAAAACCTTAAAATAATCCTATGTAAATAAATAGAACACAAACATCACAGTTCTCAGCCTGGAGAGGTTTCTTCAAAAGACGTAACAATTTCTGGCCCTGCTATTTCACCCTGGGATGATGAGCGATCTGTCATATCTGGAGCTGCTTCCTTCAACAGCCTTTCGAAATGTACCTTGGTAACAGGACTGTACTTTACTGGAAATTGGCAGCTGCTGGCTTTTTGAGGGTACCGCAGCCCTTTTACCACTCATAGATTCGTAAGTTATTTACAAACCAGGTTCAGTCAGCATCAAGACTGTGGGATTTCATCAGCCACCTGACCTGCTTCCTTTTGCTGTCTTGGGGAAGCAGAGCCCAGGAGATGTCTGGGGAAACAAGGATCTGAGGAACGGCCACCTATCCCTGCCTTTGGGCTCTGGGATCTGCTGCTGTTTACACAGTAGTCCACGTGTCCGTCATAATCTCCAACCTGAATCAGGTGGATACTGTCAGTTAGCGGGGGATGTGTGTGTGTGGAAGCTTTAGCTTCCTATCAGGAAAGAGTTTGTGTTCAGATATAGATAAGGCACGTGAGAGATGTCCGCACCTGTGTGGATTAGCACCACCAATATTACAATAGCGACAGATAGCAGTGCTAACAATGACAATTAATAATGTAATGTCTCCAAGTCTGATTTTAATTATGGGGCAAACACTGTTTCAGCTGGATGGTCTCAGGATCTCAGCAGTGGTTTTAGCACCCAAGTTGAGTCTCCTTGTGTGTGGGGAAAGTTCTGTCCTGGACTCAAGAAGTTCACAGACTTCGTCCATCGCCCTGGTGCAGGTCTCGAGGTTGGCAGCCAGCTTCTGGATTTTGGCCTTCAGGACAGCCTGGCTGACTTTTGTGACCTCCTTTGTGTATTCTGGCACGAGGAAGCTGTGGGAGCCACAGAAGACCATGAAGCAGACAGAGTTGTACAGTGAGATGGAAGCCCTCTTCTCTGACTGGCGCAGTGTGGGGTCCCCCGGACCCTGCCCCCGGCGGAGGAACTCCAGGCAGCCGAGGATTTCCCTCATCTGTTTCCGACAAGTCATTGCAATTTCCTGCACCTTCTTCACCTCCCGGGAATTGCAGAGCACTAAGGAGAGATCGGAGGTGATGCTGACGGCCCCCCCGGCAGTGGCCAAGCCCAGACCCACAGCCGATGCCAGGAGAGAGACTCCCAGCGTCGCCGGACTCAGGGACAACCCCACAATGGCTGTGACTGCTCCTGCGGCGGTCAGGGTGCTCCCGCTGACGTTGGCAATCACGGACCTTTTGCGGAGCTTGTTGAGTTTACGAGCCACCTTGTGAAGGTGAGCAATTTGGCCACGCAGCCTCCGTCTCTGATCCAGCAGCGCTATGTGGAAGTGATGTGTGGGGTCTGGTGCTTGGGGAAAGGCAGCACTGTTTCTCTCCATGGCCTCTGTCCAGAAACAGAAAAGGCTGGGTTGGGATTTATGTTAAAAAAAAACAACCCAGGAGACATGCTCAGCCTGGACCACCATTTCAGGGATGGCATCCAGCCAATTTTTTTTATTTTTTTTTTTGCTTCACTCAGCTACATGGAAGGTTTGCTGTCTGCACACACGTACACACTCATGTACACACACACACGTGCATGTACACACATGTACATTTAATTACCAGATTCCACTGTAACTTTCAGACAGAGGACCTTTTAAAGGTTATTCTTGTTCCCTGAGAAGACTAGAGTATCTCAAGGGCTGGGGTCAAAGGTGCTGTTCTTATTACCTCTGTGAAGACATAAAACATCTCTTCCAACGCTGGGGAAAGAAATTCCCTTGAGATTAAGTGACTCAGTGCCCAGAGTAGTAATGCTGCCAGAACTAATATGTTGTCCCCATGATGGGATTCAGAGGATGTGCAATATTCAAGGGCATCTTTCACAAGAAAGGCCAGGCTCTGAGGAGGTGAAAGCCACCCATCCCAGGTTGCTATTTAGGGGTAATTTCTCATTAAAGGAGGACAGAGGGAAGCTGCTGAGGGGAGTCAAGGTCTGGCTTTTCAATCTATGAGGTGAGAAGCTCATTGATGCCTCAGACGGGTATTGTGAACATCCTTCCTTTCTTTAAGCCTAAGCAACGCAAGATCCTGCAGCATTTTTTTTCCTATTGTAACCTGGCGTCAGGGTCTGGACAAAGATGGGAACCATTGTTCTGTAGTGCTTAGTCCAGCCTGTGGTGTTGGATCCCCAGTGACAGTGGCAATGAGGCCAGTGGACCTCATTTAAAAGGTTCATGAAGGGCACATCAGAAAAGCAAGCCCACTTGCAGTGCACACTTCCTAGGGGCTGGCGAAACAGGGGAAATAGAGGGGACCATGAATAGAAAAGGCTTGAAAACTGCTGGCTATGGCAACCTCTCCTGGCAAGATAGCAGAAGACTGTCTTCCCTTCTAAAGGGTCAATCTTTAGGGTTTCAGTACTAGGCGATCTGTTTGCTCTCTTTGTTCTTTGTCACAAAGGTAGAAAGAAATGTTCCAATAAGCATTTGCAGGTTGCTCTAGGGCTGCAAAGTGCTTTACAAAGAAAGCCAGCATTGTTAACCCTGCTTACCTATAGGGCAACTGAGGCAAGGGAGGCAATAGGAGTGATGTAGCATTGCTAGCTGTCTGGTGGGAGCAGAGCTTTTGTGCTCCACAACACTGCACTGCGCACAAGGCTGTGCTGCTTCTGCACCTAGCAAGGTCTAGCCATAGAGCTAAGAAGCTGTTTGCAGTCCATAATGCCCTCATAGCCAAAAGAAGTCTCTGTAGCAGAAAGACCCTGTCCTAGAGCCAACTAAGCAAGACTATTCATTGCTGCAGCCACCTTTTCACTTCTAAGTCTTCTGTACTGTGTGAACTGGAGGTGCCTGGTCCCTCACACAGGCACACTATACAGTTAGGATCCTTGGGGCTTTCATTGTGCAGAATCCCTGGGTTTCAGGAGGAGGAAACCTCCTATCATAAAGAGTCTTTCCATCCTGAAATGTATAAGTAAATAATTCTCACTACAATTTTTTTCCCTTCTACTTGTCCTAATCCATCTCACGCATAATCCTATAGGACCTCCCCCTATGCCCTTCAGAACAACGACCCCAGTCTCTCTTGGTATCATTGGGCCATTTGAGCCACTTAGTACATTGTGCTTTTCTTAGCTGGAGGCAGTGTCCTCTTATTTTTTACACTATAGTCAGAGATGAAGATGAAAGTACAAGGACTAACACTAAGCTAAATGGATAATGGCATTGAAATGAACAATGAGCATATCACCAATAACTTAACAACATCAATATGATGATCATTAAATATATTGATTCCTGTAACCTCTTAACAATTTGTTCTGCAGATTTTCTTGCTGAGAACAGTCTCAGGTATTAACAGCGGCCACCTCACTGCAGTTAGTGGAACAGTCATTCAATATATAGCATAAGTTGCAGAGTCATGCATGTCTTTTGAATACACTGATTTATGCCAGCATAAAGGAAAATAACCCCAACTCCTGCTCTTAGAGAAAAATCTCCCCAACAATAAAGGTATACATTAGTCCAAAACCGGCAAATGCTTTCCTAATACAGTACTCAGAGAGACTCCAAAAATTGCTTGTTCAAACTTACCTTTAGTTTCCAGCCGACCTCCCCAAAGACAAATTTTGATCTGTTTCTGGAGGAGACCAATTTATAGCTCCTGTGGACCAATTGCTGCGATGGGAATGCTTTGCCTCATACTGGGAGTTTGCCATTTCCTGCTCTCCCTTGTGCAGAAGGATGTGACACACTGGAAAGTGACCTGCGGGACAGCGAGCACACATCATGTTCAGGAAACGATCCCTGCAAATGAACATTGTGTGTTCACTTTTCCTGAAGTGTAGGGGGAAAAAATTTTAAAAAAATCTCAGCCTATTCCTGGCGTTGAGCTAGTGCAGTCATTCTCCCCAGGGAACAGTTGCCTTTCCGTTCCCTGAAATAGCAACTGACTTTACTCTGTGCTGGAGCCACCAATTGCTTTATGACTGAAGTTTCCCCCCACCACACGTCTAGAGCCAGTGGAGCATCAGCCAGCCAGCTACTTCATTCAAGGCCAGTGTACTTTTAAAATCCCGGGTCTTTGGAACAATTGTGTGTGTGACTGGCTGGAGCACAGCAGTGCTGTGTGAGAGCTGGAGCGGTGCTCCACTACGTAAAAGGGAAGCAGCTCCACAGCAAGATGATTGCCCTGAGTTCCCATCCCTTCTCCTTCTGAGTAGATAAAACTATGCGACATCCTCCAAAAGAAGTGATCACCCTGTGCTTTTGCTGTTTCTTAACCATGGGCACCATGATGGTTGAGAAACAAGCATGATGTTTTCCTAAGTTATCTGCCCAGCAGTCAATGATCAGAAAGGAAGGGTCATTGAGATCCCCTCTTTTGCTGCCTGTTTTTGCCTGGCAGTTGTGCCAACATACAGATGTGGCCATAGGGAGGAAGTGATGAAGGTGTTGGGAAGGAACAGCCTAAGTGACACTCCTGGTGCAGCCTTTCACACTGAGCCAGGGCAAAGACAGTTTCTTTGGATGGCTCCAGAAAGAAAGGATTTTTGGTGGCACTAAGTGGTGCAACCCACCTTAGACCAAAGTGGCACGTGTCCTTATTGACGCAGGGTATGTGGTGCCAGGGACGTCTGTTTTGAGCAGTTGTGCTTGAAGTTGGTGCATCTACTTTCTTGCTTCATGGATTCTTACTCTTCTTGTTGACAGGGAACCTCTGATTGTGCCCTAGTGTCCTCCTGGCCTGGTTAATCTGAAAGATGTCACTGAGTGGCGAGGCTTTACTGTTGAATGTGTGAGATGCATAGCCACGCAATTGCTGGAGCTGACCTAAGGAAGGGACAAGGACTGAAAGGCAGCAGGCAGGGAGAGGAGAAGGCTGGGATTATTCATTTCAATGGCAACTTCATTTTAGATCATCTTAAAATGACTGTGAAACAATATGTCAAGTGTTTTGTCAGGTGTGGACCCGCATGAGATGGGACATGAACAAATAAAGAAATAGCATTGAAGAGCTACTTCAACCTGTCACAGACCTGAAAAGAGAAAATATTGTTTTGAAGATGCTTAAGTAAGCAATCTTGGTCTGTTACACTCTGTACATATTGCACATTAACAGGAAGGTGAGTTTTGACACTGAAGGAAACTGTGCTTTAGCCCTTCCCTTTGTTTTAGCAAACATATGCTTGAATTGGAGCCCATCTGCCTTGGCGAAGGTTTGCAGTTGATAGACACAAGAGTTCTTTCGCACATTCCCAAACAGAATAGGCTTTTTTTTTTTTATGTAACTGTATCTGCATTGGGACTTCTGCCAGCAGAGATGTCCTTGTTAGGACAGTGAGCTTTGGTAAAAATGAAATAACAAAGAAAAAAAAAAGGTCTAGAATGAGCCTGAGAAGATGATACAATTTTGGTTACTCTTCTTCGTTTCCCAGTGCTTTTCTTTGAATATACTCAGCTGCAAAATGTTGTCAGAAACCCCTGTGATGCTCAGTGCATGGGTGAGGACATGAATAGAGTGCAGAAAGGACAATTCACTTTTTTTTTATAGTATTCCCTCACAGAGTTTCCTGCACACTGAAGACCTGCACTTCACACAAGACAAAATGTTAGGATGGGTTCTCACAGGGATCATCCCTGGGCTCCTTCACCATCTAAAAAGGATGTTTCCCTGTAATGCACCCCAATAATGAGGTGCATGCCCAGAAAGTAAGGATTTCCCATGAAGAGTTACAGATGTCAACTTGATTTTAAAAAATAAATGTATATTAGAATAAGAAACATTATTTCCTAGGGAGCTGCCCTACAGCAGTATGGTCTGATCTGATTTTGTCTCTGCTGACACTCTCACAAGCATCCTTTTGGTGAGAGGGCTGGTGTCTTCTCTCCCACCAGCAATTACAGACACCCCCACCAGCAAAGGTGAGCAGGTGGGAATGGGAGCAGGATGGGAGAGGAGCGTTTTCTCTGAGCACCTCCCAGAGACTGAAAGGCTTTCAGTGCCTTTATTACACCTGCCCAGATGTGACCACATCTGCCAAGTCACCAAGTAGGTCCCAGGGGCCTGCTTGGAGTGAACCTTAGCTACCAGGGATCTCAAGACTCGTGAGTAGGTCTGACCTTCACTGGCCAGTCCTGCAAGCTAGTTTAGGTCTCATCATCCCATTTGCTGTACATTTTCATCCAACCCTTCTGCTGCTGCAGTCTCTTCATTCTTGGCCTGTGGAGTGCTTGGGCTTGAGAGTGGAAGGGCCATAGCAGGTGTTTTGCAACTACCCTGGCCAAAAATGGTCCCTCGGCTCCACCCTTTCCCATCTAGCTATATCCTCTTGAAATGGGCAGAAGCCAGACCCATGTAAAATCTGCCCTGAAGGCATTTTGTGGGAGCAGAT